CATCGTCATCCACATTGTCGTCATTCACGCATGCACCAACAACACCCGCCTCGACCTCACCGCCCTCTACAAGGCCTTCAAGTGCATCAAGGCAAAGTTCTGCAAACTCCGTGTCGCTTACGGTAAAATCGGCGCCGACATGCCTGGCGCCTCGTGGTCTACCATCGCCAAGGTCATCAACTCCGCCATGTACTGCTGCAACCACACCCTCGTCTACGAGAAGTGCCTGCCCCCCGAGCCGGAGCCGGAGCCATGCGAGCCGGAGCCCGAACCGGAGCCATGCGAGCCGGAGCCCGAGCCGTGCGAGCCGTGCGAGCCGTGCGAGCCGTGCGTGCCGTGCGAGCCGTGCGTGCCGTGCGAGCCGTGCGTGCCGTGCGAGCCATGCTGCAAGCCGTGTTGCGTACCCTGCGAGCCCGTGTGCCCACCGGTCCCCGTGTGCCCACCGGTCCCAGAGTGTCCCCCGGTCCCAGAGTGTCCCCCGGTCCCAGAGTGTCCTCCGGTCCCGACGTGCCCCACCATCCCAGAGTGCCCGCCGGCTCCCGTGTGCCCACCCCCACGACCTATCCCCGTCTGTCCCCCCACGAGGAAGAAGTGCTACAAGCCATGCAAGCCCAAGAAGGTCTGCAAGCCGAAGCCCTGTCCGACGACGGAGGTCTCCGAGAAGACCGAGGAGCCCGAGCCATGCCCGCCGTGCCCGGACCCGGAGCCGTGCCCGCCTTGTCCCCCCAAGCCGGTTTGCAAACCGGTTTGCAAACCAGTTTGCAAACCAGTTTGTCCTCCAAAGTGCGAGAACATTGTCAAGATTAACATTAATCAGGGATGCGGCCCGAGCAAGTGCGGCGTCAAGGATGTTGTCAAGATTAATATCAACCAGGACGGCTGTCACAAGAAGACCGTGTGCAAGCCGAAGTGCGTGTCTACGGCCCCGTCCTCCAAGGCCACTTCTCACCATACCGTCAAGTCAAGCACAAAGTGCGCGCCCTCCAGCCATAAACCCACGACGCACGTCGGTAGCAAGGCCACCAGCCACCGTTCCACAAAGGTTCCGTCCACCAAGCCCCAATCCAGGGTTTGCTCCTCAAAGGCCACAACCTGCGTCACCAGTAACAGGTCCTGCGTCTTCAGCTCCACCGACGCCTCGTCCACATGTTCTTGTGATTCATGCTGCTCCGCTGGCACGTCCTCCCACAATAACCTCTCGTGCGGACGAACGCTTTGCAAAGCCAAATCATGCACGAGGACCAAATCTTATGCCCTAAGCTCGAAGAAGTCCTCGAAGAAGTCGTCCTCCCATCCCGATCCTGACTGCTCCGAGTGCCAGGCCGGCTCAACTTCGTCATCGTGCCCCTGTTCGGTGTGCCAGAGTAGCTCCAAGTCTGGTTCTTGCACAAGCTCATGCTCTTCGTCGAGTGCTTGCTCGTGCTGCAAACCGAAGAGTACGCGTTCACCGTCCTCCCGCTATAGATCCTCCTCGTCCTCGTCCTACTCTTATGGACCAAGTAGCAAGAGATAACTTGTAGTCGATAAGGACTTCTAACCGTTCCACTTACTGTGAATCCGATACTCCGTGTAGGCCGTACAGTCGCAGCTTGATCGACAAGCGGACGGGTGACTGCCTAACCCCTCACAGCTCTATTCAGTCGAACAGATGTGGACTTTGGAAAAGAGAGCAGCGACAGGCGGAAAGAAAACAGCTAGGCCCCAGACCGGCTTGGCTGTCGCCATTTAGAGGTTACAAATTTAAGATTTTAGATGTTACACATTGGTTGTCTTCACCGGCTGCGAACTCACTTTTTTTGTATGCGTCGTACAGGAAAGATCGAATAACGATAGAGATTCTCAATCAAAGCCAGGTTATTGCATAAGAAATTTCAGTGCCCCCAGTTGCCACCCAGAGCTTTACTTTATCCATGCATTGAAGGAAGTTTTGATGTCTACGCGAACAAGCGAGGATGAATGGGTTGTTGGCAGTTATGGTGATGCAGACCATTACATGAGCAAATACTTTACATGTGGGAAAATAAGAACAGTGTCTATTCACGATAATTCATGATACGCTGCTCAGATGCTTGGAAGGGAAGGATGAGGAAAGAAAAAGATGAAGGGCAGCACACAACTCCAGGCCCATTAGAAGATGGCGGCGGAATGCCCCCGCGTGTGCCCTTGACCCCTACGAGTCGTTACGAGACCAGGAATGCTGTGTAGTCAATGTAAACGGAGGCCACGTTAGAGATACAATACAAGTAAAAGTACAAAAAAGCATCCTACGCGCACGTTCAGATCTCATGACTAATGTAGGCTAGGCTTTCTCCGGACTTTTGAAATCTCTATCCCGCCACGGTGAACTGATCACATGAGTTACTCACAGAACATTGAAGAGACTCGGCAATATCTTGCTGCATTGGATTGATGTTGCCCTCGAGGCCTCCAATCTTTGTGTCGTTCGCTTCATATGGTATCGCCAGAACCCGAGGACACGTTTGAGTTGCCATTTTCGTGGAGTCTTCCACACAGAAATCGTGCATGCTATCGCAAAAAGAGTTTGCAGCAGGGCTCAAGCCGCAGTCCGTCGTGGTCGTCGCCATGGTGGCCGGAGTGGGTGGACATCCGTTCTGGTCGTAATCCTCATCCATGACTGACGAATAGTCGGATTGGTCGCGATCCTCTGGTATATCTATTGGGCTTGGCACGTGCATGATGTGGTTTTGTCCGGAAGCCTGATGTGAATCTCCGCTGAACATGCTCGGTCCAGCCGTCCCATTCGTGACCTCCCAGCTGGAAATCTGCGCGTTCATCTGTCCGCCTAATGGCATCCGTGGTTGGGCAACCACGGGGCCATATGTGTACTGCTGTTGTTGAAGCTGAAGTTCAAGTTGACAATTGGAATTCCCTACTTGCTCCAGATGAGACATTGTTTTACGCAACTCTGCGGCCAAGACAACGGCATCCGCACTCCTCTTCTTGAGCTGCGACAGAAGCTCGTCCAATATGAACTCCTTCTTTGCTCGAGAAGCCTCCGCACTTGCCAAATTCGTAACGCGTCGAACCGTAGCGTCATCGAGCTTTGCTCCGTTTGCCGAGGCGCCAAAGCGCTTCAAGAGAGCTTCCCGACGAGATTCTTTCACAGAGGAATACTTTTTGTCTCCTAGTGCTTTCACGTACGACTCAACATCAACAGCTGATTGCGCTTCGACGCGTTGTAAGACGTCAAGCGCAGCAGGATGGAGCATCTGGATTGACGGGGAACCGCCAGTTTGGAAACCCTGTTGTCGAAAAGAATGTAGAGGTGTGTTGGGATCTGTTGGCGGGCTTTGGTACGCTGGATGCAGTACTGATGATGCTGGAGACGTTGGAATCGAAGGGGATAATGGGTAAGCTGATCGGAGAATAGATGTGGCTTGAGAAGTGGGAAGGGAAGATGGACCAGTGAACACCGGCTGAAGAACTGATGTGGCAGATGAGGGTGGCATTGAACGATTCGAATAGGGAGGCTGCATTACGAAAACGGTCTTGTTGAAGATGAGATGTTCTCTTCTGCGATAACAACAGCAGCTTCCAAAACAAAAAAATTGACAAGGTTTGCAGAGACCAGGTGAGGGAAACAGGTTCTTTTAACTCTAGCTTTGTATCAGCCACGCGTATCGCCTTCGCTTTTATTCGCTCATAATAACATCGAAGGATGAGCAAAGGCTGCCTTTTATAGCGTTCGTTGGGGTTCGAAAAACGTTGCGAAACAGTGCTCAACTGCTTCCCCGACATAAAAAATAAACGATTTCCTCTCAACCTATCACAAATGACACGCTTATTGATTAAAGCCCGCGATTTCTATTGGCCTTACGCGCAGCAAGTGGCGTTTGTTGAAGGCTAAGAGGCCAGATGAACTTCAAAAGAGATTCAAGAAAACTGTCACGAGGACTTCCGAAGCGGAGCATTTGCGATTTCCAGTTTTCATAAACAAACATAGGGCTAGATCGACTCCCCTCTATTAGAACGTCCTCTCTTTAAAAATGGGATCGTAAAATGCAAAAGGTTAATCATCACCAAGAGTGATTTAAACGAAATGGCGTTTCCCTTCGAACATATTCCTCGGATACATCTACCACTTTGTCTGGGTCGTTCTAGAGGCTCGTATTTGATGTGAATTGCACGAACTCATTTCATACATGTGTAACTTTCATGTATAGATGATGAGTGACGTTATGGGGAATGCAGCATGACAACTCTCCTGAGACATATCTGTCACAAGGAAGGACAAACCTGAGTGTCTTGCTTTACCAAACTAACCTTGGGAGCCTACAGGCTCCCAAGGTTATAGTGCGTATACTGTCTTTTTCACCGCAGTGGCTGAGGGGGGCACTTTCTTTCTTCGTCAAGAATGCTTTTCCACCGATACTGAGTGTTAGATAGAGATGTGGACTTCGGTCTATTAAGACAGTTTTATTCCAGTGACCAGGCTTCTTTTGAATCACAAACGTACAACAGCTCATCACAACACAATTGGTCATTTTATCTACCTCAGCCGTATTCTCTCAAGGGCCATCCCACTGAGAGATATCCATAGATGTAATAGCGAGACTTGCGTCTTTCACAAAGCGTGAGAAATGAGTTTAGTTGCGTCAGCATTTGTGTATGATGCTCTGCCACTCTAGCGTGACGAGTACCGACCCAGGTTGGGCCAGAGCGATCGCCGTGAGATGAAAACGAGACTATGGAAATCTGGAGAAGAAAAATATGTGAAATGGTGAAAGACCTAAATGAGATGCCATAAATTTCTTTCAGGGCTGAATAGGAAGAGATCAGAACTTCTTCCATGGTATCTGCTTCTCGCTTGTTTGCGTCAGTCCGGTCTTATGGTTTAAGGAGCATGTCTAGTTCTTTTTGTCAATGAGCAGTCTCGAGGAGGCGTGCAGCATCGGACGCCCTTCCCTGCCTTCCCAAACAAGCAGGTCTACAGACTGGTTCTGGGCATGAGCCGCATGCTCCGTGCGCCATACACCCTCACACGTCGCATGTTCTTGAGATGTTTCGGGAACAAGGGCAACGCTATTGGCTGGAATGTCAAAGGAGCACGACAGTAACGCTGATTGAGTCGATAAATTAACTTTGTTGTTGATTATACAAGATTTTGTACCTCTCTGTATTGCGCATATGTGCACCTCGCTTTTCTCTACCTCAAACTCAAGGCTGAAAGACAAAAATGCTCATTGCTGGCCACACTCTTCTTATGTCCCAAACTCATTGCCCAATGCAGCATCCCAGTTTTGGATCGGCCCTGTGGGTCAGCTTGAGGTGCCCCCTTCCTTTGGTAATTCTTTGTCACGTTAAGGCCATGGAGAAACTATTTTTGTTCTCTTCAGCAGTCTCAGTCCTTGATTTCAGATTCAGATGTGAGCTTTTGTCATCTTAGTTTCGAGCATGTTGTAGGCCCAATGAACAACTGCTTTCACCCTATCGCCCTCTCGAGTTGGACACGTCCAAGCCCTTGCTGACTCTAGGAAACAATCGGTTGATAAAACTCTTGAATCTTTGCCCCGAAAAATAACTGTTCTATGCGTGAAAAAAGATACTCCAACACTCATGTCTGTCTTGACTCCTTGCCCCTCGCGCGAGCAGATCAATCCCAACACTCTGGCATTTTACAAACTCGCCTGTCTAGACGCACAGCTGGTCACCCCATTGTGTCCTACCGCTTCTAGGGGATTGCTTGCGGGCATGAATACATTTGTAGAGTCGTCATCGTTTTATTTAGTCGCATCTGAAAAACTTCTGCTAGCGCTATGGGCCCCTCATTTTAAGATCCTCAATTACCTATATCAAATATGGATCGTTTGGCTTATTCTTCTTCCTTACAAAAGCGAGTGGAGATTACAGGTTTCTGAGTGTCAAGGGTGGGCTTGTATTGCTGAAAGATGATTTGACAGACGAGCAACTTTATCTGCCATTCATGGAAGAATAACAGAGATTGTATTTGATTCATTCAATGTGCTGTCCATAGTCTTATTCTTTGCTATACGAAGAGCGAAACTTATGGGTTTACCAATAAAATAGATTCAATTTGTATGCGAACCTATTGTAAGCAGATGGAAAGGTAAAGCTATTTCTTTGAACAGAAAGTATGTCCCGAAATGGCAATTGTACCATTGGGCATTCTCCACACCGACTATAAATGTATTTGCATACTTTTACCTCAAGAGAAATAACATACCGCAGGTATGAATCATCGTTTTGTAAGAAAGCCTTTGGAGGTAATAAAATACAAGGGGATATTTGTGGTTCCTTCGAGATGGTGCCCCAGGCAGTGTCGGTCGCCGGCAGAAGAGGTGGTCAACGTATACAGGTTACACTTGATTGTATAGAAACTGTGGAAGAAAGCCGCGCACAGCTCGGAGGGAAGCAGCACATAGAGATCGAATCACTAGTAGATGAACTTGCATTAATAAGCCTTCACTGCGGAGCATTTGCTCGTTTGTGCCATGCATGTCCTGCTTCGAACGAGCGAGCCCCCCTTCCTCCGTCCTTCAATCACCGTCAAAGGCACTAGAGTCGCGTCCCACATCTTCCCCCAGCTACTCACAACGTCAGTAGTAAAAACAAGGGACACACTTCGGATCACATTTGACGCTGTTTTCAGAGTAATTTTTTATGATTGCCGATTGACTGAATCATACCATCCGCTATCTGTCCTTAGATGCTTGCTGCTCCATCGATTAGACTATATACTCTTTGTTCTATCATCTCGCACATCGAAGCAATGTTTCTCTGCCGAAATACGCATGTCTACATGCAGCACCAATATTACTTGTTTCGAATTCAACAGTTGAAGAAAACTGGAAGACAATAATCCACAGAAGCAAGTAAGTAGCCAAGTCTCGATCTTGCAGCACATTTTCCCTTCTATCTGAACAACATCTCAAGCAAGTTACTACCATGACGGATATCACAAAGCGATTATTCGTACCAATGACAATCGGCCGTAAAAACCAAACTAGAAAGTCTCATAAAAAAACACAGATTAGCTCTGTAGCATGAAAGTGGGGTACAGCTGGTAGGTCGATCGTGAAGTTTCTGACTGGTCAGGGGCCCAACAGCGAATTGCATTGGGCATGAGAGGTGATGCTAGGACGCGAGGGGAACAAGACTGAACAAATTGGGAAATGTCTCCCATGCCGTGCCAGGAGAGCACTATTTCTTGAAGGGGTCGCAAAAGTCAAAACTCAGATCAAACGTGCTGGGCTGTGTTCCTGACTGACTAACTGGTTGAATGGAAAATGCACACTAGTATATGACATGCAGAGCGCCCCATGGCTTTGTGGAGAAAGTAATTCCGGACTCAGTGTACAAATCTTGATTTCCACGCAGGTCAAACGGGCTTTTCGTATCAATGCAGCGAGGGAAAGGTTTTGGTTCACTCTTAAGACTTTACGAAGATGATTCGAATCCAATATAATGAGATGAAGTTGTGCTCAACACAAAGAGAAGTATGGCCTCGGACGTTTTATGGAGATTTGGAACTGACGCTGAATACGAATATGTGCTTTGCAACTGGCAATCCTGATGTAATACGGATTGGATGAAGAGGCTCAGTCTGACTAGAGTGAAGCTTAAGCGGTAGATGTGGTTATTCTAGGTTATTGGGCATCATTTGAAATCTCTATGGACATCTAAGTGAATGCTTGAAGGAATCATGGCCGATTCAAATCGCCATGTCTCCCGAAGAAGACAAAAATGTCTGCATTCTGTGGTAGCTGACTCGGAAAAGTGGCAAAGAGAATGGTGTGTTCCCTTTTTAGGCTGCCGCTCAAATGCGATAGGTGATTTTTAACGGACCGTCTGTATGTGACAAGAAATGTTGATGCAGGCGGACGCAGCGAAAGCGGGGAACCTACGGTCGAACAAACCTGAGTAGCAGGTTCCGACGTACCCGAAGGGCAACTGGAGATAGTAAAAGTACCGTAGTTGACCTCATCAAGTAAAAAAAAAAGACATCAGTGTCACAGCATTGGTCGCGAAGGACTCCGTATCGTGCTGGAGTGACCATAATTCGAGAGTAATGCTGAAAGTATTTCCTAACTTCCATAAATTTCCATATTTGTTTTCTAGACGGTATAGGCAACACAACTCAGGACAGCATGGAGGGCAGTATCTCAACGACGTTCACAGGAAAAGAGTTGCAGGTATATGAAAAAGAAGACAAGGAAGCAATTCAAGACTTCAAATGAATCATATTTCTGGATGAGTACAAACGACATGCAGCAAATCTCAGAAGAATCTTACCAGGAGACGTCGATCTTTAAAAAAGGAAAGAGCAAACCGTTTCTTACCAAAACGCAACTGCAGGCGAAAGAATTTCGCTTCAGTTGCAGACCCGAAACTGCACGGACGGACGTCCCCATTTTCCATCAGAGATTTCTACCACGACACGTTGCGTTTCTAAATAACCCACCACGCGCCCTGTTTCCCGGGGCCGAAGACAAAAGCGAAGATGCGCTCCACAGTGAAACAATAAGTTGTAGCTGTAAATCGGATGTACTCACCTCCAAGATTATTCTCAAGCTGAATCGACTACGGATGTCATTGAGTTTCAACCCTTCTTGGGTTGTGGGATTACACTGCATTCCAGATCTTCCTAGCTTCTCTCTCTTCCTCTTTCTAGGTTTTGTACCGTCCGCCCTAAATACTTCTCTCTGAGAATGGAGAGAATAAGTTTCATGTAAATGAATCTGGTTTCAGGGTGAAATTATGAGTTCATCAATGGAAGATGCGATAAGCGAGGGAGAAGGACAAGTGAAGGAAGGGAGTGAACACGAACAGAAGAAAGCAGAGTGGAGCAGGTATCGTTGCTCTGATGGTTTACTGAGCAGCAGGTATTGTTGTGTTGCCCATGTCTCAGAGGAAAGAGAACAAGGGCGCTTAAGTAGGCAACAGAGAGTGGCAAACCGTGAGCTGAACAGTGAACGCGCTGAGAAGGGAGGAACAGTATAGGTAGCATAGAGAACGATAGAAGAGCACAGAGGTGGGCAGAAGCGGTGAACCAGTGCAACCTAGGCGACACAGTATGAGGACTAAATAGCTTGACACACTTGGGTAGCACATGAATCAAATCGGGTGGCTCAATAGACCACATGGTATCAGGGTGTAGTACCAACTTAGGTGGCGACTGTCCTACTAGGACTGAGTGCACAGATCAGGATTCACACTCATTCTCTTTCAGGGTGAGGTTAACCGAGGAATTGCTCACTGTCACGGTGCTGAGTAGTAGAGAAATCGACTGGAATCTTTCCAGAAAACATGACAAGTTGAAGTGTCTGACGAAGAGGGCTGTCAGGTTTAGTCAATGCATCCGATGGATTGACGCTTCCAGGTATCCAAATCATTCTAGAGATCTTCTGAGTTTCGAATTCGTATCGAATGGGGCTGACATCAGCTCGAATGGATTTATCTGTAGCCCCAAGGCAGGTGGACAGAGAGTCGTAGAGGTCTTTCGAGTCGACAATCACAACCCAGTCCATCGCAATATCTAGCAGCTCTTGATAAGCTCGAGCAAGAACCTTTCCTTCGTCGACAGCAGACCCAGCAGCCAATGTCTCGGCTGCGCCGACCGACTTAGTTGGACGCTTGGATTTTTGAACTCAGAGTTTCCGAAAGCCGGATCATAGAGGACGGTCTGTGGCACCCAGAAAGGAGTGATACAGTGTGATTCAAAAGCAGCAATTGCCGAATTCATGGCAGTATCGGAAACCACACAGCCTGAGGAGTAGCGAGAAGTAGAGTCCATGCAGTGAAACACTTTTTTTTGATCAATGAACAAGTGATCGATGCAGACAACTTGGTTGAACTCGCGTGACATGGCACTGAGCGAAACGGAGCGCTCGCCCTTCGGTTCTTGTACTGCCGTGCTTTGTTATGGGCCCAGTAGACCACATGATATCAGGGTGTAGTATCAACTTAGGTCGCGACTGTCCGACTAGGACTGAGTGCACAGATCAGGATTCACATCATCTAGATCTAGATGCACTAGTGTCTCCAGTGTGTATCGGACCGTTAGTCCTCATATGAGGGGAAAGGTTTTTTTTCTGGACAATGCAAAGCGCGATTTATCGAAAGACAGGAGCACTCTAGAGGTGCGATGTTGTACGATGGCATCACGGACGCTCCTGGTCAGGTGATCTATTGTAGAGTGAATCTCTGATTCAATGCTGTATAGATCGTACGGGTTGGTAAGAAAGGAGGAAAGGAGGAAGCTAGTGTGGCCAGCAACAGCATGTCCGGCTCGGTCGAGTCGGTGCGACACGGTGGTCGAAGTGCTGGGACCGTGGGGTTCCAGAACTGGGCGGTGGTTGTTGTTTTGATGCGTCTCTTGGTCCGGTCCTCCTCGGGTTCAGAGGCCGGACCTTTTATTCGGAAAAACGTACTACCGCTACGAAAGGGTCGGGTGCGCGGAAGTGTGCACCCGTATCAGAGAATTGGACACCTACTCTGTGTGGGCGCGCGCGCCCGGAGTAGGTGGTATTTACATGTGCCAAGCACAAGGGCGCACTGTAGGGCACGAATTTGGCAACCCAATGTAGGTCACCGTCTTGTACGGAGTGCCAGCGTGCCACACTAGAGAAGACCAAATGTCGGGGACTTTAGTGTCGCAGTTGGGACAGAGTACAGCGAAAGACTGTCAGTTGGGAACAGACAGTACTCGAACTGTAGTGCTCCAGTACTTTGCCACCCCTGCGACTACCGCGCATTGAGAAGTCTCGGCCAAGACGATCACGAATAAACAACTGAAGCTTTACTGCTATATTGGCGGAGCCCCCCTGCGCGGACTCCGTACCTAAGTCTTCACCCGATTCGCGTTCCGAGCTAGGAACGACTCAGGCTCCAGTGCGCCTGCGACAGAATCAGACCTGACTCAAGAAGGAAAAACCTGGTCATAGAGGTTTTCCGACACGATTATCTTCTGTGTGTTTTTTGCAATTACAGACTATACGCTTGCGTTTGTGAGAAATAAATATGAGCAACTCTTCAGCAATTGGTTGCTGAAGAGTTAGACGGAAATTGATAAACTCACGAAAAATTTCCTCGTATACAAACGCCAGCCTCAGGAGTATGACAGGAGTAATACACAGCAGGCATTAACACTTGATCGCCCGCACGAGTCGATGCCAGTCACAATCACCAACCACATGGTGACACAAGCAGATTTTACTCTAGCGGCGTGCCGTAGTAGAACTTTATCTCTGTCTGTGACTACAGATGGTATTTGGAGGCGGCGCAGGGCAGCTTCGCGATCGGCATTTTCATCTTCTGCCGTTTTGATGCATCTCGCCGGACTGCGAGAAAACGAAGTAATCGAAGAACAACGCATTTTGTCTCGTCACAATCGAATCTCCCTCGCCGATTTTTCGTTCAACTGCAACGCATTCGGAGACAAGGACTGTCTTTTATTCTTTCGGTTCAAAAAAACGATGTGCTGAGAATGGTAGCAGCAATTGCATGGCCTACCGAAAAGCTTCGTATTGCACGAAATCGCTATGCTGTGACAACCATTTTTGCAACTTGTGTTGTTTTGCGACGTGTTTCATCCGCATGCCGTTGGACAGGTCTGGAGGAGCTTTTCGGAAAAAGACAGCCTCACCTCTCCGAGATATATTGGGAGGCTCTTGAACATATGTGGCAGACACATCAAAATGTTTTCAGTTCTATTTCAGGGTCTTTGTTACAACCAAGAGCGTCCATTTATGCCGACGCGATCCATAAGAAGGGCATGGCCTTGCAAAATTGTATTGGAATTATTGATGGAACCGTTATTGGTATTGCCCGTCCGAAGGGCCATAAAAGGCAGCGCGTGGTATACAACGGCCATAAACGCAAGCACGCTCTTAAGTACCAAGCCGTCACCACGCCGGACGGCTTGATACTACACGCAGCTGGGCCAATTGAAGGGAGAAGGCATGATTGGACTTTGTACGTACGAAGCGGCCTTGATGAGGTGCTCCCAGGTTTGTTGGATTTTGACGGTTTGCGGTACTGCTTTGACGGTGACTCAGAGTACAACAGACGGTGGTTTATGGAGGTGCCTTTTCAAGGAAGTATTTTGACCGCTGCGCAAAGTTCTTTTAACGGAGCAGTGTCTGCGGTACGCATCACTGTCGAGTGGATCTTTAAATAAGTGAAGATGCAATTTACTGTAGTAGACTACAAACGCAAAATGAAGCTCTTAGAAAGCCCAGTTGGGTTGCTGTTTCTATATCGCAGGTTCCTTACTAACTGCGGGAACTGTGTCTACCCCAACCAGATCGCACAATACTTTGACTGTGCGGTCCGGACCGTCGAGGAGTATCTAGACATGCACACAGATACCCAATAAATATGGCTTCGAGCGGAGGCTTCAAGGACAAATACGCATCATAAAGCACTGTTACACACAATTATGTGTGTTGCATCCGTGCATGCGTCTTTTTATGCCCTTAACTTCGTCGAACGTATCGTGGCGATCGACTGCCCCCTCATAGTCTTTCCACGTCACTTTTCAACTCTTGACTTGATCATCTATCAGCGAACGCACTTCTAAGAACTCTGTTGTTGCTGATCATCCTTGCACCCGTGCCAGCCCGGGCGCCTCGCGCGGGCACCCTTCCATCTTGACGGCCTGAATCGTCCAAACCGCCCTCTTGGGCTTCGAATCCGTTCTCCTCTTCACGCACACCCTGGCCCTCTCCCCGCAATGACCCCCCTCCTCACCGCAACATTCTCGTCACCGCAAAATCCTGCTCACCGCAACATCTGCCGCACCTCCCCCTCGGTCACCAACTCCCTCGACCGCGAGTTGCAGCTCGCCTTGCGCCGCCGCCCCGCTCCATCAAGCGAGTCCCCACCGTCGAGCTCCTCCAGCAAACAAATCCGCCGCTCCGGCTCCCTGCGCACCCCCTTTTTCACCCGCTTCCGCCCCAGCTTCTCCCGCTTCTCCTTCCGCGCGTCCAACGCTAGATTGCCCCGATCCAATCCCCATATGTCATCCTGCACCTCGTCTGCACGGCTAAAGTGCACCGTCTCCGACTTCGGCGTCGCCTACCCAGGCCCCACTCTCCCGCCGCTGCCGTCCCCGTTCAGTCGCTCCTGCGCCCGCCCCGGAACCAGAAACCACGACGTACAGCGAGCCGATGAGCGTCATGGCCGCAGGCGAGCGCCGCAGCGGGGCAGGGGTGTCGTAGCGGGCGGCGCAGGCGTCGAGGGGGATTGGGTACTCGGCGAGGTGGGAGGCGAGGGGGCGGATGCTTGTGGTGCGAGATTAGACGGTGGGGTACTTGGCGCACGATGCGGACGTCGTGATGGGCTCGGTGCTCGGCGTGCGCCGTGACACGGAAGTGGGCGTTGAGGGCGGCCTGGGAGAGCGAAAAGGCCGGGGCGAAGGGCAGGAGGGCGCGGGAGAGGGCGTAGGAGCAGGCGAAGCACCAGTCAGACGGGAGGGAGAGGTTTGCGCGGGTGAGGTGGGCGTGCAGGAAGGCGGCGTCGAACGGGCTGTTGTGGGCGACGAGGAGCGGGGTCCGGCCGGGCGGGGTCACCGACTCGATGAAGGAGCGCAGTGCGGGGACGACGTCGTTGAAGGGAGGGACGAACGCAACCGGAGATGGCAGGGGCGGATGTAGGTGCAAAAGTGCGAGGGCGGAGGGCTTGGCGGGGGAATCATGCTCCAGAACGGCTAGCGCGGAGAGGGAGGAGGAGTCCGGGGAGAGGCCGGTGGTGCCGGTGTCGAAGAAGGAGACCTTATAGGTCGGGGAGCGGGGGGTGGACGACGGAGCTGTCGTCCGTGTGCAGCGCGGGGAAGGGGGCGGCGGGTCGAGCAAAGTGAGGGCCGTTCCTAACGACGAGCACGGTGTGCTAGCACGCACGCACCCTGACATTTGGCATGAATAGATTGGTGGAATGAGAGGAAATAATTTATTTAGTAAATGACGATGCGTTTTCAAAAACTGTGGAAGGGCGTAGAAACTCGCCATGTTCCACCTGTTCCGAGAAGTCGGCTATCCGGTGTCATAACACATTTGAAAACTACTCCTCACACCTCTTATCATAAGCCGTCATTGTACCTCTTCGCGTATGATAAAGAAACGAAATGACTCTCCTTGTCGTCTCGCGTACCTAGGCTACTGTTATGGATATCCGCCTCTGTTCTACACGTGTAGACTAAATTTACAGTATACAACTTCCCACGCTCTTCAGTCTCCCCAACTGCTCCGCCCTCCCTCGCCCGCATCCCCCGCCTTTGCGCGCACGCCTCCCGTCACCATGCTTCCCTCCGCCGCCCCCGCCTTCCTGGGCTCCCCCCTCCCTTCCCCTTTCGGCGCCGCGCCGTCCCTTCCCCGCACGTGCCTCAAGCCGGCGCGCGCGCCCGTGTGGGCGGCGGATGGCCCGCCATCCCCGTCGCGCCGACGGCGCCCGAAGCGCAAGGCGTCCGCCTTCGAGAACACGATCGACGACCTGACGATGAAGCGCATGGGCCGCGGCACGATCTACTACGGCGAGCGTGCCCCGGAGCCGGACGACGAGGAGGTCGACTCCTTCCCGGACGGCGACCTGCTCAAGCCGGACCCCGTGCTTCTGGCGGGCGGCACGGGGCGCACGGGGCAGTGGATCGCGCTCGGCCTGCGCAACCAGGGCTTCAACGTCCGGTGCTTCACGCGCTCGTTCCGGCGCGCCGAGGATATCTTCGGGCCGTCCGGCAGCAACCTCGACGTGTTCGAAGGCGACCTCGCGCACATGGACGACGTTTACGACGCTGTCAATGGGTCCATTGCTATTGTTTACGCGGCCGGCGCCCCGTGATGGCGCCCCGGCGGCTTGCAGGCTGTCGACGTCAAGGGCGTTGCCAATCTCGTCGAGGCCGCGAAAAAGGCGGGCAGAGTTTCGCGCTTTGTCCTCATCAGCTCCGCCGACGCCACTTCCGCCCGCGGGAAGGCGAAGCGCAGCGCGGAGGACGTTGTCAGGGCGAGTGGGCTGCCGTATGTGATTGTAGGAACGGCCGCACTGAAGGACGCTGAGGGGCGGCGCAATACGATTGAGGTCCAGCCCGGGGAAGCGCCGGCGGAGGCCAGGAAGGAGATTAGTCGCGTCGACTTGGCGCAGTGCGTTTGTCAGGCACTCGTTTATGACGCACACCTCCCAACCCTGACTATGTCTGCTGGGTAACATCCCCTGCGCCCTGCGCCCTTCCCCGCCACCTACACCCTTCCCGGGCACCACCTCCCTCCCTGCCCTCGCGATGCCGCCCGGACCCCGCACCCACGATCCTTGCACCCCCAAACCCCCACCTGCTCCCGCCCTGCTACGTGAGGGCAGGAAGCAGAAGTGACTTCATCTGCGTTGAATGGGATGCAGTTGGGAAGGTGGAATGGCGATCTGTGCGCTAGGCTTTTCTGTGCTGCTGATGGTGCATCATAGGCATTGTGCATGCATCATACAAAATTTATGTCATTTGAATTTCCGTACCAGATCACAAAATACGACCCAAATACCGAAGGAATTTGTGTGTAAAAAATTTATGTGAGTTTGTGTCTTTCGGAGTGGCCCAATCTTGCTGCAGCAGGTGCACCACCGATCACGCTTCTGGTTCTACTACAACTGCTTACCTGTAGCCTCCTAGACCCCTTCACCTCCTGACTTCACGATACTGTGTCTGGTAAGACGTGATGACATTGTTCGAAGACTCTCCCCGTCGATCGCAGCGAATCTCTCCTCTGAAGTCCCCTCAGCCTTCTCTTCGTCTTTCTCCGCGACGCCACCTACGTACCTCCCCACGTTGCTCCACGAGGGCCCCTAACAGTACTCCTCGTGGGCAAGAAAAATGCCTCATCCCTTCAAACCAATCACTACACCCACCCAATCCTCTATCCCCTTCTGAATCCGCATGCCCAGAAGAGAGAAGCTCCTTGGAAACTTCACAAAAAAATCTAACTCACCTTTTCAAGAGTCGGGTTTTTACATTTCTGTCATGTCTAACAAAGGACGTATTGCGAAAGATCGGGAAGGATTGGGGTCAAAAAGTTAGAGGAAAGAAAGATTTGATCGTATTTCGGATTTACAAATACGTGCTATGCAATGTGAAGAGCGAAGAGTCAAGCTGTGCTTTTTTAGAATCCAATGCTCATTGCCCGTCTTTTAATGACTTCTCAGCACGAATAAGAGAAACCGATCAAATGATGCACTCACCGCCTTCCTGGGACGAACTTAATAAGGCTTTAACGGAAGCCGGTGACACGTTAGAGACGTATGAAAAAGGAGCGTTGAGGTCCATGGATGGAAATGAGGAACCGAAGCCATTCTCTTTGTCTGAATTTGCACGTCTCGCTGTAATCATCAAAACTGATGAACAGTGCAGGCAGGCTATGGAGAAGCTCCAGCTAGAGTTGACGAGGGGAGAAATTGATGGAGGGAGAACAAGGGAATGCTACTGGGGTGTAATTGCTAGACGCTTCAACGACAATTCGTTACGGCCGTGTATGTCTTTCGTCGGTTTTTGCGAAGAAGCTGATCCAGCGCGGCTTCCGTTGACGTATAGACCGGCTTCAGTCTTGAAAACGCAGTTTCAGAATGCACGGAGTCATTTTACATCCGCAAAAAAAAGGTGGGAACTCTCTGGGCAAAATGATCCACAGCGGTTCTGGAGATTTGTGCATTGCAAGAATCAGGATTCAAATTTTCCAACGTCGATTGGGAAGCGCTGCATAATTCTTTTTCGCGTTTCTGACCTTGGAACCCCATCGGCGGATACCTTCTTCATCAATATTTCAACGAAATCGATGAACAATGGAGGGTACGAAGAAGGCGTAGTTGCAGGGATCCCAGCTAATATTGTTGACGATCCAGTACTTCAGGACCGAAAAAAAGGCGCGTGAGCACTGACTCGCAACAGAATTCTGCATTAAGCGAAATGACGGGCATGGTGGAAAAGCTTGTCGAGCAGGACAGATTGTTTGTTACTAGAATGGCAGGTATGGGTGCCCTCGAGGAGGGAGATATCAAGAAACCGGAGGAAGATCCCGAAACAGTTCGAATGAAACGCATAGAGAGGATGAGTCATTGCGTTAAACTAATGGACGAACTCAAGACGTCCACGGCACTTGCAAAGGAGAGAAATGAGGATGAAGAGTACATCTCTTTTTTAAACAGTCACTACAAGCTGTTAAGGGAGGAGTACAGCGAGCTCCGTTACCAGAAATAACGGCAAGATGCACACAACTAGAACATCTCCAAGAGGATTACCTCTTCGCTTATCTTCTCTTCATCCCCACATCCCCTCTCCCTTAGCTCGTCCTCCATCAAAGACTTGCAAGTGCTCGTCCCGCGCATGGTCTTCATATCGTCCTGGCGCATTCGCCGCCTTACCACCGCCACCGCACAGAGATTGGCACTTCATACCGAACCGGAGATGCTCATCTCGCCAGCACAATCTTCCACCCCCAACGTTCACACCGCCCCGTTCCTTCAACACCCTAACCCTCCACGGCCCGCTCGTCATCAAGTCCTCGCACTCGCCTTCGCTCCACGGCGAGCTCTTCTTCTACCGCCACATCCCGCTGTCCCTCTCCGCCCTCTTCCAGCGCCTGCACTGGCACACCCTCCACAACACCCGTCTCTCCTTCGCCATCGACCACGTCCCCGCCACCACCTTCTCCTCCTGCCTTGTCCAGGGCGCCCTCTCGGACCGCTCCCTCACCCACCTCCTCACCTCGCTCACGCGCCTGCACCGCTGCCGCGCCGCCCCGCCGCCTGCCTCGGACGCCCTCATCTACGCCGGCTACGCCGCAAAAGTCGCCGCCCGCTTCGCCGCGCACCGCGCCGACTACCTCGCCGCCGGGCTCCCCGCCGCCCACTTCGACGCCCTGCTCCTCCTCCTCCGCGCGTACGCGCGTGGCCGCCGCGGCCGCCCCGCCCGCGTCATCCACGGCGACCCCGTCCTCACCAACGTCCTCGCCCGCGTGCACGGCGCCATCGCCCTCATCGACATGCGCGGCGCACAGGGAGATGCCCTCACGCTCGCTGGAGATGCCGTGTACGACGTCGCAAAGGTCGTGCAGAGCCTCTCCGGATACGACCACATTCTCGCCGCCGTCCCTGTCGACGCTTTTGTCGAGGCCAGGTTGAAGAGAGCGCAGGGCGTCGTCAGGAGGTATGTGGAGGATTCGTACGGCGTGGATTGGGGAGACGTCGTGTTGGTTGTGTGCAGCTTGTTCACGAGCTTGATCCCGTTGCATGAGGGCGCACGGAAGAAGAGATTGTTCGCGAGCGTGGCGCGGAGACTGCTCGAGTGTGTGCTGTGCGGGAGGACGGGGGAGGAACAAGTTGTTAAGGAGGTTGCGGCAGTGCTGAGGGAGGAAGCTTGTCGAGTAGATAGTGAAGAGTCTTGCTGCTTAAGTGGGTAGCCACGGGCATTCGTAAAAGCCATTTGGAATGAATGAAGTAGAAAGCTTGCGGGCACTCGGGTAATTTGTTAGTGCCCGTGCGTCTTGCAAGTGTTCATGACATTTGGCTAGAAATGCGTTGGCAGAGGAACAGCCCACGCAGGCACGCTCCTTTGTTGGGAGACGTGATCGGGTCGGACATGCGTAGACGTATCCGAGCTGTCCTGTCTTCCAACATCCTCTTGCGAATCTCAAATTTCCCCCGTTTTTGATATTTTTTCGGTTGGATCAGGAGACACAGCCTCCTTTGCAAAACCCCCGACCTCTGCAACCGCAACAGTCACGGCTCCCGTCTCCCACCCCCTCACGCCATACCAGAACAGGCAGCCGTCCCCGACCAAGAAGCCTCCCCGCCCGATGCCGCAGAGAAGGGCAACGTTGAGCAATCGACTGCGACCGAAAGCCTCGTGGCAGAAGAACCACCGCATGCCCACGCGGCTACGTCCGAGGACCCCGCGATCACTCCCATTATAGCCGCATCCTCCCATCCGCCCGAAGTCGCCTCCAACGTAAAGGGCGTGTCAGCAGACATCTCGCTCGACCGTGGCCCCCCCCTCGACGTTGACGTCTCCTCCGACCCGGATCACGCGCGCGCATCCCAGCCGCTCCCGGGGCCACATCGCCTTCCGGACGTCGATCGCGACCCCGACGCGATCCCGGCCAAGGAGGACGCCATCGATGTCGACGGGATGGAGGATAGCTTCGACGAGGCCGACGACGACGACGTGGCCGGCATTGTCGACGAAGACATCGATGAGGACGAGGCGAACAGCGCGAGTGAACACGAGGATGGGAAGAGGAGAGATGCAATTGATTTAACGGAAAGTGCCGAGGGAACCCCGCCGGCGAAGAGACGCGACATGGGGGATGTGGAGGAGCACTCCGAGGTGGAAGAGGAGGTGCACGAGGAGGACAGTGAGCACGAGGATGCCGAAGAGCATGAGGACGGCTTGCACACCCCGTCAGATGGGGGCCACGGCGAGGATGACGCCGCTAGCTCGTATGCGGACGCCGCGGATGTGGCAGAGGGGGAGGTTGACATTGACGAGCATGAGGCAGACAAGGCTAGCGGTGAGGGCGAAGACCCCGCAGAAGCCACCGCCCCCCCTGGGGACAAGGGAGCTAGAGTTGATTCCAAGGGAGACGTTGGACAGACGGCAGCAAAGGCGGATGAGGCTGAGGCTGAGGCTGAGGTTGAGGTTGAGGCTGAGGCTGAGGCTGATGCTGATGCTGATGCTGATGCTGATGCTGATGCTGAGGCAGATAATGATGCACAGAGCAATCTCTTCAGCAATCAAGCCGCAGTACAAGCTGAATTTGAAGTGGAAACCGCTGTTCAATCTGATTCCGTTGATGAACTCGCAAAGACCGCCGTGGATACCGGCGCAAAAGAAGAGCGTCTGTTAAGAATTGCGGCTGATGGCGGCGCCGCGAAAGAACCACGTGAGGACGACATCGCAGAAGGAAAATCGAAGCCAGAGATACGCGCAATTATCGAAGCAAAAACAGTGCCGGGAATTGTGATGGATTCGGGCGTTGAAAAGGAAGCACATGAGGATGACGCCCGAGAAAGGGAATTGGAAATGATAGTTGAGATTTCGGAGGACGAAACTGCAAAGCAACGGAGTGAAGGGTTCGATGACAGCGTGCACAAAGACGAGGAGCACGAGGACATGCAAGAAAGCCCCGCAAAGCCTTCTTCTCCCGTTGCACCCGGCCCCGATGACGACGCAATGTCAGAGGAACATGAGGAAGGAGACGAGATTTCAGAAGAAGATCCTGATATGATGGTAGACGGGGCGACAGAGTCCGAAGCACCGAAGAGCGGCGATCAAACCCCTCAGAGCATCGCAGAGATGGACGCTGTGCCAAGCCAGGTTTTTCCTTCTACGGCTGCGCTAGCGGGGGATAACCACGTCGCAGAAATTCCAGTGCACCCCAAGGAGACAAGCGTGGCAACATCTCTACCAAGCTACGCCGTTGAGAAGGAATCTCATACTGATATGATGGAAGAAGATGGGCAGAAGAAAGATCCTGCCAATGGTGATGATGCTGATGTTCAGATGACGAAAGAATCAGAGGACCAACCGGATGTGCAAGTTGAGGAACTGAAGACTGTACCTAAGGCGATAGTCCCTATTGTTCGTTCACAGACAACGACTGGCGATGCTACCGCGAGTCCAGATATTCCAATGACATCCAACGAGGATGTCCGAACAGGGGGCGATACCGAAGGAGGTATGCAAGACGCGTCAGAAGGTCCAGATGTCGTCGAGCCAAGCGTGGATCCGACGAAGGGTGGGGACACGTCAACAATCGAGGAAGCAATAACGACGGAAGCTGACAGTGATCTCAATGGGCAGCCCAAGGCTGTCTTTTCGATCCCAGAATCCTCAGTAGAACTTTCGCAAGTGTCTAAACAGACCAACCAAACTGGTGCAACAACTATTGTGCCAGTTAAATTTCCGGGACCAAATGCACCCACATTCGCAAGCCCTAAAGTCGAAGCCGATACAAGTGCCAAAACCCCAGCTGACCTTTCTCAAGGCACAGGAAATAGTGCAGCTGTTCAGGAAAAAGCGACAGTATTTCCTGCCCCCAGCGAGCCACAAGTAGCAATAGCTGAAAAGATTTTGGATTCTGAACAGAAAGCGGCCGATACTAAATCCGACGAGCAGGCTGCTCTTAGTGTGCCGCTCGTGAAACCTGAATCAAAACCAGCAACGACGGTCCCTGGCCAAGCAACGAGTCCGGAAATCAACGCGACAGCGACCATCCCTCCCGACCTTAAAACCATCACCCCGACAGTGAAGAGTATGGAAAAGAATTCATCTCCGTTTCATGCTTCGAAGTCACTCTCCAGTTCTTCGACTTTCACGACCCCACTGTTTGGCATCCAGCCACCGAACCGGACTGGGCCAGTTTCGTTTTCGTCCCCCCCAAGTTTTCATCAGTCGAATCTCAGTCCGACTGCAGCTCCGTTTGTTCCGGCTACGCTTGATGCAAGCAAGGCCCCGCCTGCTCCCGTTGATCCACCCAGTCTCGGAACTGTCAAAGTGCCACGAAAGCCGGAACAATCCACAGTTGCGCAAGTCAAGGTCCCGCCTCAAGACGTCGCCATGGCCGACGTCGTTCCTAAGCCTAAGGGTCAGGCTCCTGTAGACAAATCAAGCCAAGATGCAAATAAGACCTTGGCACCCACACAAATGAAAGGTGTATCTCAAGCGAAAATGCCAAAGCCTCCTGTCAAGCCTGTGTTGAGGAGGCAAGCCGATGCTCAGCAGACATTGCGCCGTGTTCCCATCGAGGGAACAAGCGGAGGGATGTCGTACACCGTCGATAACGTCATGATAATTGTAAGGGAAGGCACATCGAAGCCAGTCCGTCGCTTTACGTTTTGTACAGTTGAAGCAAAGATCAGGCCAGATGGGGAATCGACTCTGGAGTTTTTTGAAGGTCGCGATGGTTCCAAGAGTTCTCTTGCAGAGCTTTCCTCAAAGAAAAATCGCGTCAGAATTAAAAAGGTGGTGAACAAACCATTCGTGTTTTCGGTCACGGTTTTGGGTCCGTCTGGACAGGAAAAAGGTAGCGATGTGGCAAAATACTTCATCCATCTACAAAAACATACTTTTGATGTGTTTTATGACGCATGTATGATGTACATCCTGGATGTAGTGAAAGAGAAACCCCGGCCGAAGACGGTAAGGTTTCAAGAGCCAACCCTACAACAGAAGACGGCGGCCGCTGCACCAAAACCGAACCCCACAGCTGCGAATCCAAATAACAAAGCTGGAGTGGCAGCTAATCCTAAAGTCGTGCCCTTGGATCAACGAAAGCTTCTTCTGTTAAAGATGGAAGCTTTGAAAAAGAAAAAAACCGGAAGATGCTCGGAAGGATCCCCATCGCGAAATGTGACGTCTGAGAGTTCTGGGAAACGTACTACATCCAAGCCGATTAGCACGCCCGGACGCATGAATATCAACCTTAGTGGTATTGCGGACAAGCAAGCGTCAACCGCTCAGAGGCAAACACCTCACAAAAAGACGGCCGCAGTTGCCGAGCACAAGATCGGGGACGTACAGGCATTCCAACGGACCGTCGGGCACGGCATGCAACAACACAATGTGAAACTGCAGCTGCTGACACCCACTACAAGACCCGTTCCCTCGAGCCCGAAAAAGAGGCCTGCCTTCCGCTTGGAAGAACGAGAGAGCTCCATGAAGAAAGCAAGGCTGGCCGTTCCGAAAAAAAGGCCCGTGGCCGGAGCACATGCCGAGGGGAGCGTGCAGCGGAAGCAGATTCAACCCCAGTCTAGTCTGAAACGTGCGCCACAGCCCCTGATGAACACCACCTTGGGGGCTAGCAAGATGAAGGCGTTGCAAGTACCGGGTGCATCGCCACGGCCTGCCGTGGCGACCTCCAAATCGATTTCCGTTGTGATGCAACCAGCCCCGGCCATGACCGGCGGCGTGAATATTTCATTAGAGGAAAAGGCGGCCTTCGAGCTTGATGGGAAGCGCTTGACGGACGTACTCGCCGCGATCAAGTCCGCCGTGAAATCTACTGGAATTGGCGAGGCCCATGAACCAGTATCCCTCTTTCGGTGCGAACCGAAAAATGTGTCAGACTTTTTCTACAGACTGCACACGTTCCGGCCGTCGACATGGCGCGGATTTGCGCGCGGACACGCGTTGAGTGCAGTGGAATGTGCAAGACACGGGTGGCACAATAATGGCATTGACGAGCTGACTTCGAGTGAGGGCTCTGTAATTACCGCCAAGTTTGAGACCTGCTTCGACTCGGCATCGATGACAGCAGAGATAGAGCGCGTGCGAAAACTCGTCGTCGGAGGGGGGCACCGGTTGCTGTCCACGTGGATCGGCGAAAGCTCCCCCTTAGAATTTGAAACGTTGGAAGGAAGCAAGCGGACATGCAACGCGGCGCAGCTCAAAACAAATGCCAAGCAGCTGGAAAGCACACGTGTGGTTGAAATTCTGGCCAACAGGGACTCTGACTCAGGTCTTTCGTCGAAGGGTCCCTCGGCTGCCGACAAGTACGGGCGACTGGCGTGCTACAACTGGAAGGCACGAGGCAGCGAGGAGGATCTGGATTTGTACTCCGATTGGTATGGGCGCAGCGTGTTGCTCACGCCGGAAGACATGGTCCGAAGCGGGGGGAAGGGGTGCGTTGAGTTTGACGTTGCGACGAGCCATTATGTTTTCTGAAAGACAAGAATGTCGTCATGGGAATGCTACTGTCGAACAGAGGGAGCCCGCGAAGGCGATGGCATCGATGATGCATTATCATCAAATATTATGTTGGGGACGAGCGGTGTAGGTCGGTGGCGGGTTCAGGCGGAGGGTGTCTGGAGGTTGGTAGCCTGCAGTGATGTAGATAGTAGGCGGTGATGCAGATAGTAGAACGATGTAAATGGGAGCGGTTAAGAAGCACTCCGAGCTCGCATTGCACTGCATTTACATACATATTGGACGCAAAAGAGAACAAGTACAGGCCCGAAACGCTGGTTCCAAAACGGGGTTTCCAATGCTGTTTAGGATGTCGGATCGGAGGGTAATTCCAGGGTGGCTGGCATGCACTCATATTGCGCTTTCATTGGGCAAGGTGAGTGCGCGTCACGTGCTCTACAGTACATGGCACCAATAAGCAAATTGCCCTCAAATTAAGCTCCAAATGTTTTTGATTTTTCTACTAGAGAAACCGGCGGGGACGCTTTCCGTGATGTCGTTCTACTCCGGGAGGCGTCCAACTTGGGGGACACAGCAGCGGCGCGCAGCTCCAACACGCTAATGCAGACTGGGGCGGGATGGCCGACCAAGTATTGAATGGCTCTGTACCATATTGCTGTATCACGCATCTGTCCATCACTCGCAAAAAACAATCTCATTCGAGAAAGAAACTCTCCTTACAACTGATCGCTCGGGTTGGTCATAGAGGCAAGGGAGGGCGCAAAAGCCCCTTTGATTCAACAATCTGTACCATGCGCTGTCTGCAGCGTGATTTAGAACCCTTCGCGAACTGCGATTCCATTCCAGCCTCTTCCACCGAATGCAGATACCAATCAGCCTCTTCAGCTTGTACAGCATCCATGTTCGCTCTTTGTATGATTCGTGGACTAATTGCGCCGCTCTCCTCTCTTATAAAATTGTGTAGCTTCATAGCTACACAAATTACGCGTGTAGATGTTTGCACAGAGAAGTTCAAATGATACAGCATTCGCCATTTTGACATAAGTAACCCAAAAGCCTGCTCAATATGCATGCGTAATGATGACTGATGAAAATTAAATGCATCCTCCCATTCGCTTGCCACTGTTGATGAGACAGGCGTGATTAATGATTCTGTACATGTGTAGGCTTCGTCTCCGGCTATCCAAAACCCTGAAGAGAGCTTTTGATCTCGCAAAAACATTCCCAGAGCCGACACATTGTGAGCTAGGGAATCATGTGTAGAGCCTTTACATAATGCTGAAAAAGATAGGAAACGGTAGTCTGCGTCTGCCATAGCCTGCACGGGAATCGAATAGTACCCTTTCCGGCAGAAAAAAGATGCCGGATCATGATCGTGGCTCGGCTTCTTTACCTTAACAGCGATGCCGTCCAGTGCCCCCACACACCCAGAAAGGGGGCTGTGTGGTGACCTTGAGAGTTTGAAGCGTTGGGCCATGAACATCAAATGATCGACATTCTCTGGAAGTCCCGGCAAGGACATCCTTGTCATAATTGCCGCACAGCAAGTATGAAAAATGTCATATAAAGCTGTCTGTGAAATGTCCCATAACATTCGAATATCTAAGTAGCTTGCACCAGCCAGTAGTCTAATGGTGATTGATAACCGGACGTCAGCATGAATTACATTGCGATTAATACCTGTAAACCTATTTTGCTCAAGTGGAAGAGATGGTCCAATGCGCTCGAGGAGTTTCGCGAAAACGAAGCGAGGCATGCGGAACGCCTTTGCAAAGGTTACGTCATCAAGGGACCTTGTGATGCCTTGAAATGAAACATTCGCACGTGTACCCGTCTTCGTGAGACGTTTTCCTGAACTGCCTGCCTTTTGCGCTCCGATCAGTGTAGCCACAAATGCGCAGACTACAATTTTCTTCAGCCTTGCCCTTCTCACAAAAATTGCTGCCTGGAGGCATTTTCTGTGACCGAACAAGTGATTGCTTCCCATCATAAATCCCCCCAAGAATAGTGAGCCTTCACCGCGGTCTCTGAAACCAACAACATTCTAAATCCCCTTTCTCGCCGCCGGATCATGCCCTAATTGAATAACAGTAGTGGCCTCTTATCTGGCGAGAGGTGGGTCACGAAACAGAGAAAGGACCAGTGGTGGACCACAGCATCATTACTGTACCCACGTGGAGAAAGAGCGCATTTGGTAAATCACTTTACGGGGCTCAAATCCAGTTTTTGATCTCAAACAATCTCACTGCATCGGTCCACTTCAACCTTCTACTTGATCACCGCCTTCCCCAGCACCTTCGCCGACGCACTGTCCACATTCCTCTCCGATTGTCAATTGCCATCTCTTCCGCCTGCACGTCATGGCCACCTCCCACTCCAATCCTACCGCATCCCTCCGCTGTCGATCCCCCGGTCTCTCCCGCGATGTCCTTTCTCACCCGCTGGGGCGGGGTCGCCTGCCGCCTAGCCTCCCACTCCTCCTCCTTCAACGGTCGATCCCTCCCCTCGCAAGTTCTGCGCGCCCTCGCCACATCCCCCCCCCCCCTTCGTCGCCGACGCGGGCACTCTTGGTGCGGCCTCCACCTCTACCGAGCTCGTGTCACCGCGCGGCTGGACCTCAATCGTATTGCGCCGCCCCTCAGCGTCCTTCAGTGCGGCCGTTCCTACAATCACATACGGCAGCCCACTCGCCCTGACAACGTCCTCCGCGCTGCGCTTCGCCTTCCCGCGGGCGGAAGTGGCGTCGGCGGAGCTGATGAGGACAAAGCGCGAAACTCTGCCCGCCTTTTTCGCGGCCTCGACGAGATTGGCAACGCCCTTGACGTCGACAGCCTGCAAGCCGCCGGGGCGCCATCACGGGGCGCCGGCCGCGTAAACAATAGCAATGGACCCATTGACAGCGTCGTAAACGTCGTCCATGTGCGCGAGGTCGCCTTCGAACACGTCGAGGTTGCTGCCGGACGGCCCGAAGATATCCTCGGCGCGCCGGAACGAGCGCGTGAAGCACCGGACGTTGAAGCCCTGGTTGCGCAGGCCGAGCGCGATCCACTGCCCCGTGCGCCCCGTGCCGCCCGCCAGAAGCACGGGGTCCGGCTTGAGCAGGTCGCCGTCCGGGAAGGAGTCGACCTCCTCGTCGTCCGGCTCCGGGGCACGCTCGCCGTAGTAGATCGTGCCGCGGCCCATGCGCTTCATCGTCAGGTCGTCGATCGTGTTCTCGAAGGCGGACGCCTTGCGCTTCGGGCGCCGTCGGCGCGACGGGGATGGCGGGCCATCCGCCGCCCACACGGGCGCGCGCGCCGGCTTGAGGCACGTGCGGGGAAGGGACGGCGCGGCGCCGAAAGGGGAAGGGAGGGGGGAGCCCAGGAAGGCGGGGGCGGCGGAGGGAAGCATGGTGACGGGAGGCGTGCGCGCAAAGGCGGGGGATGCGGGCGAGGGAGGGCGGAGCAGTTGGGGAGACTGAAGAGCGTGGGAAGTTGTATACTGTAAATTTAGTCTACACGTGTAGAACAGAGGCGGATATCCATAACAGTAGCCTAGGTACGCGAGACGACAAGGAGAGTCATTTCGTTTCTTTATCATACGCGAAGAGGTACAATGACGGCTTATGATAAGAGGTGTGAGGAGTAGTTTTCAAATGTGTTATGACACCGGATAGCCGACTTCTCGGAACAGGTGGAACATGGCGAGTTTCTACGCCCTTCCACAGTTTTTGAAAACGCATCGTCATTTACTAAATAAATTATTTCCTCTCATTCCACCAATCTATTCATGCCAAATGTCAGGGTGCGTGCGTGCTAGCACACCGTGCTCGTCGTTAGGAACGGCCCTGAAGGGGAGAGGGGCAGGGGATCGGATAGGGAACAGGCGGTGCCAGTCCAGGAAACCGCGACGGTGAAAAATTAGTTGCGATTGCTCGAAAAATATCAGTAATTCATGTTTATGAGATATGTCTTCCCGCCAGCAATGCCATATCCAGTTTCTCTCCCCCTCTCCCCCTGCTCAGTACTGTCTCATCGTTGTAGAGCGACACAACATCCTTGCCCTGCACCACCCCGAACGTCACAAAATCTCGCTGGGCGGGTCGTAGGTGCGCCCGACGTCCGCACAGCTGGAGGCGCGCGCCAAGGCTTCGCACCAGGCCCAACTGGAGCGGGTCGCACGCCGCGCAGCCGTCGTTCGCATCTATGCAGCGGCGCGCCACCATGGCCAGCTTGCCGCGCTCGCCGCTGCCTGCGCCCGCCCGGCCCCCGCGCAACGCGCCGTCGCCCACCTCCTCCTCCTCGCCGGCCACCTACTCGCACCGCAGCCCCCCACCCTCGCCTCGCGCGTCTGCCGCGTAGCACGCCACCTCTACCATCGCCCGTTCGTCCCGAGTTTTGCAGGAGCCCTCACAGACGCCCTTGCACAACCACCCTCGCCCCCGCCTCGACCGCCATCTCTCGCAGACCATACCCGTCAAGGCCCTCGTCGTGCTCGTCGCGTCGCGCGCCCACCGCCTGCGAGAAGTCCTGCTCCCCCCGTCAGAGACGCTCCGCAGCTACGTCGCCGCTGTAGTATAACTACAAAAGAATTAGATTAGAAATTGGATCCGGCTCTGTAAGGCACGAACCTTACAGACAGCCGGTACCACACGTGTACGGGGGCACGCGCCCCCACGTGTACTATACGTGTACGACACGTATACAGTCAGCCCCGACGGCTGACAGTGCCGACTACAGTAGTGCCCCATAGTACAGTACGTACTGTACTAAGTTACGATAGACTAATTGTACATTAAATGACGGAGCGGACCGGCGGCGGCGAAGGGGACAAGGACGGACTTGTCCACGACCTACCGCCTAGGTCTGACTTCCAGTTTATCCTAAGGAAGCTTCCGTTAGCTATCTTAAGGCGAGGACGAGCGCGGGTAGAGGACGCGCGAACACGCGAGCGAGCCTAGATCCACCTCCGCCCGTCAGCGCTGGAACGTAACCCAGCGCTGCTCCGGGGCGTCGAGGCGTAGATCGGCCCGCACGTGTGCGCGTCCTCCCCCCGATCCCGCTCTACCACGCTACCCGGGCCCGTGCTCCGGTTTCGTTAGCTGGTCCGACTTCCCCCATCTTCTCGTACGTACGGGTCTTCCAGGACTAAGCATACACCCCTATTCGTTTAGGGGTGTTTATGCTACAGCCGCCTGCCTCGATGCCGCTGCACGCGCGGGC